ACGCCATGGTGTGCAAGAAAGGGGGCTTCATATGCATGAGGCATGACGAGGTAAGGGACCTCACCGCAAATATGTTAAAGGAAATCTGCCGGGATGTCTTGGTAGAACCGACCCTCCTTCCATTGGATGGTGAGATCTTCCAACACAGGACTTCAAACACATCTAACGAAGCCCGTGTGGACGTCAGTGCTCGAGGATTCTGGACGCGGAGACAGCAAGCTTTCTTCGACATCAGGATTTTTGATCCCATGGCCGCATGTCACCGTAACCTAGCTCTCGATGCTTCACATAGGAGGAACGAGAACGACAAGAGAAGGGCATATGGGGAGAGAATTCAAAACGTTGATCAAGGCAGCTTCACTCCTCTAGTGTTCACAACCTCTGGTGGGATGGGACCAAGTGCAAGATGTTTCAACGCCAGACTCGCCGAGGTGATCTCCGAACAGAAGCAGCAGCCCAGAAGTTATGTTACAGCCTGGATGAGATGTCGACTGTCTTTCTCTCTCCTTCGGTCGGCTTTGCTCTGCCTCAGGGGAACGAGAGCTTCTGCCCCAATTCAGACAACTGCTGCAGATATTGACTATGAGGCTACAGTCACTGAATGCCGCATAGATCTGCGGCTCAACTAATTCAACACAGATAGGATAGCTACTTATGTATGAGGATATTTAATATTACGGTAATAAAATGGTGGCGAAGGTGTGGCTATTAGGGGAGGCTGGAGGCCTATTCAAAAGAAAAAAAAGTAGTAGTAGTAGTAGTAGTAGTAGTATCATTGATATTGTTATTATACAATGAGGAATGGTATTAGTGTACAAGGTATCTGGATAAAGAAAACTTTCATAATGTAATAATAACAAACATTTATTTCAAACCAGCCACTAAATCATAAAAGCACATAATATAATTCTTAAACACAAAGAAAAGCTACAAACGTGACACAGAGATATAAAAGAACCATCACTAACGAGGTATTATTCTTTGTTACGTGAAATAATGAAAAGGTGTTTGTTGTATCTCTGCATGGCAAGGGCGATGTTGTGCGAGGTGGCCAAAATCGTACGAGGAACTGGGGGTAGATTTTGTAATGGCGGGTCAGTCGATGGGTGGGCGGGTTGTGAGAGGGTGAAATTAGGTTAGGTTAGGTATATATAATTTAGGTATAATTTAAGCTATAGGTTTAACTAGTTGAGATGGGGTTTAGGACAACTTAGGAGTACTTTTGTGTTAGGTTAGGTTAGGTTAGGTACTTTGGTTGAGTGATACACGGATTACCTATATTAGTGTAAGACTCAAAGTTTTGCTCTGTTTATTACCCAGCGACAATCTAACCTTAACAGCCAACGCCGTATAATAAAAATGTGCTTATTGGCATCTTTTCGTAAACACACACACACACACACACACACACACACCCACACCCACACACACACACCCACACACACACACACACACACACACACATCTACACGAAACACATTAAATTTGAATTAAACTAATAAACCCTGACCTTCCGCAATCAAACTAATGTAAATTCTATTAATATATCCCAAATTAACCTCAACACATGAGTAATGGAACAATGTATTTTGGTTCTGTTGTCTACCTGTAGTTTCAGGTGAGCGAGTTAGTGTGGCCATTAATTAAGAAACCATACCTACTAATGCGTGACATATTTACCGATTTTCTTTTTTTTTTTAAGTTTTACCCGTAGATTAGCGCTGGAGGAAGAGCATAATGTATTTATTTTCCTTAGTCTAGTTATCACATGCTCGCTGCAATTGTGTGTCGTGTTACTATCTGTCTATGTTTGATGGCTGTCACACATCGCAGCCTGACCCAGTGATGTCCCCCTGGTTACCACAGACTACTAATACAACAGCCAATACAGTGACAGTATTATCTTTGTTTGTATACAACTATATAAACAATTGAGCGTCGTAGAGTAAACAATAACATACCGATCGCGTACACCAGAGTGATCTATTAACAGGTTTACACGCGCCACACCTTCGACCGTCCTGGGCCCTTCATGTCTTGTTTAATGAGAGGCATGTAGTAGGGGACGGTGTGTACTGTAGTAATTACCAGTATGAGTGCCCTTGGTAACGGAGAGAGGAGTGGTTAAGTGCACACGGCTACTGTGAAGAAAAAAATTAACTTGATTATGTCTTTGTGACGCCACCGACTACCCTGTTATTCCTGCTGCTGCTGGTTAAAGAACTATTGTCATGACCGACGCGTCTATTATATCTGTGGAAAAAAACTCTTATTTCGTACAAGAATATTTCATACATATCTCGGAAATTAGTTTTGAATATATTAGAATAAAATAAATCCCCACTCATATTTTTCTGCTAGTGACTGTTGTCTATTTCTTTTTTGTCTGCCAGTACTGTCAGGTGAATCAGAAAAAATTACCTGTCAGCCATTGAATAAATTACTTCGTCCCTAAACACTTAACTCTATTACCCAGATTAATATTAAGATCCACTAACCTTATTCTCCACCGCTTATTGACGCCTTGTGTCAGGTCCTGCTTTTTAGCCTGTATAAGTATGCTGTTTATAAAGGGTGAATAAAATTGTAATAATAATAATAATAATAATAATAATAATAATAATAAAAGCAATAAAAATAAAAAGATGGTGATGATGATGATAATGATTAATATGACAATAAAATAATAATAATAATAATAATAATAATAATAATAATAATAATAATAATAATAATAATAATAATAATAGCCACCAGCCATTATCACGTTACCAACACCCTAGCCTCACCACCTGCTGTTGGGTCGGTGAGTAATCCATCTTTGTTTAAATTTTTTTACAGGTGTTGTGATGTGTCGTAAAAGTCACTTCCCGAGCTCTCATGAGTTAGGAGAGTCGATCAATACTTACTTACTTAGTGACTGTCAGATTGGCTTAATTAATCACGCATGTAGACGGTGCGTAAACAACTCGTTCAGTGTACATAGGGAGAGAGAGAGAGAGATTAGTCAATTAATTTCCAAAAAAGGTCTAGGCTATTGACTCCTCCATGACATGCATAAAACCTTTAATGTAACGCTGTCAGGAGGGGAAGGGGTACGAACTCTCTCCTCGTCGCGTCTTTGTGTATTTTTTACTCTATGAAACAAAACACGACGATGAATCAGTATTTTTTAATCTGTTTATGAATTCCATTGTACATATTGCGTCTGTTTTTTTAGATTAAATATTGAATTTCTCCGAAGAGGTGGTTTGATTGTTATTTTTTTGTGTGAAAGGAATTGTGGTAGGTGGTAGGAATTGTGGTAGAAATTGTGGTAGTTGAAATGATTGTAATGAGTGACAAAATATCCAATGATCAATAGGAGTTTTAGCCTATAATTGTTGTGGTGAAATATGCAAATTGCCGGTTACTCAAAGTTGTAATGAATGACGCTAATGATGGATAGGAAGAGTTGTAGTGAGTAACGCATGCTAGGTGTGAGTAACGTGAATAATAATAGGTGGCAGTGGGAATAGTTGTAAGTGACGAAATTGCAGTAATTGTTAGGATTTCGGCAGTTGGCAGGGTTGTGGTGGTTAGTTCGATTGTGGTAGTTAGCAGTATTGTGGGAGATCGACAGGATTGCTGTGGTTAAAGCAATTGTTGTAGTTTGGAAGGATTGTGGTTGGAATTATGTTGAGTGGCGCAAATTGTGTTAATTGGCTGAAATTGAGGTAGCAGCCCTTTGATAAACAAACTGTAGTACTCACAAGATGTTATTAGTACTGTAGCCTGACATCTCTTGACGTCATCACGGTGGCGTCGTAATATTCCTCATGTGACGTCATTATAACATGCCATAACGTCATCATATTTATCTTATTCTTAACACCCATAACGTCATTTTAATGCCTCTGGTCTGGCATCACCATGACATCAAACATTTGTGATGTCACTATATCCATAACGTCAATATAGTGATAGCGATTTAATATTTTGGGTACTATAAATTCCTGACTTCATTATGCTATTGATATGAGTGCCAAAATTAAAGCTCGTAGTACCGCGTAATATTCATGACGTCAACTTGTTATTGCTGTGACGTAATATATTATGGTGGTGACGTGGAATTATTTTTGTTTTAAGGAGTATCGCCAAGTCAGAGTGGGCAGGCCATGTGTCAGTTATCCAGGTAAGTTGCGTGAGTAAAGTGGTCGGTGACGTCTGTGTATTTTTGTAATTGTCGGAACCTGACAGAACTACAGAGGTAATACATAAAATACATAAAATAAGAGAGATAAAGACATGGGGCGAGGGGGTAAAAGAAACAGATGTAAGAGAAGAGACAAGAAAGAAAGAGAGTTAGCAGGTTACTCGAGTGCAGTTTAGCCGTGGTTTTGTTCGGTCGGGTGGTGCTGGCTGTGACTTGGTCTTCGTTATAGCAGTCGAATTCTCTCGTATAGTTTGACGTGGTTGGTGTAATTAGCCTGATAATAAATTTATGTATATTAAACATGTATTTGTTGAGGATAGCAGAAATGTTTCGATTATGACACTGGATTTGATTACGATGGAAGCCCTGAGGATTAAGGTTAGTTCGGAGACAGTGAGACTCCTTCAGGTCAAACACACACACACACACGCAGAATAATGACCGCTAATAAACTCACTGCATAACGAGACATCCATCCTTGACAATTGGTGATCATTAGACTTCTCCACCAGCGTCTTTACCACCGGCCAGAACACGACAGCGGTGTTTGTGGGCGAATATGTCCCCCAGACCAGATACTTTAACTTCGTGTCTATGGACGTTTTATTTGAATTTATATAGATTTTTTTAGGTCCGATTTCAAAATAGATTGAACACTAAAACTAGAAGATTACAAAATTTTACAATCTTCTTCGGGGTGTAGGGTGTAGGAAGTTATTAGTGGTGTAGAAAGCTTAATTGTGGTGTAAGTTGTAGGGAACTTATTGGCGGTGGAGAAAGCTTAATTACGGTGTGGATGTTTCAGGTGAGGCGAGACAGAGAGCGTTGGCGGCAGAACGAGAGGCCAGACTAACAGGGTCGTCGGACTCCCCACTCAAACCCAACATCGAGATCTTGTCCCTGGACGGCGTCATCGGTGGCTTGGAGCTCCGCGATGAGGATGGCAACGTCCTGACCTCCAAGCCTGACCAGATGGAACTCACCTACGAGATCCAGGTAGATGAGAGGAGGGTGCCCAAGGTCGGGAGAGACGGTGAGAACGGCAGAGGGGCGTGGGAGTCCGACGGAGAGGATGACGGAGACCTAGACGGTAGAAGCAGCAAAAGGGTCTCTAGACACAACATGTCGAGAAATGGACAGACGACACAAGGTATATTCACGAATGGAATTTTTAATCTATTTTTTTCTCAATTATTGTTCTTCTTTTGTTATGTTCTTCAGTGTTGTATTTTCATTGTTTTTTGTTTTGTTTACATTTCGAATCATTTCTACTTCCTTGTTATTATATTTTGTGAATTCCATAATTGATTTTGTGTGTCATTACAGTTTGAATTATCTTTATAAATCTAATCTTCTTAATCTATTCGCTATGTTTGGCATCGGTACTTCGGGCCAGCATGTATAACCCACTAATATATTTTTACAAGAAGACAACTGAATGGTGATACAGAGACTCGCGTACGAAGACGTCATGTAACTGAACACATTATAAAGATGAGTACAAAAGAACGTCATGAAAAAGTAAATTTGATAAAGGACAAGAATAAGCTCCACGGGGTCGCTTATAAGACACATTAAAGTAGAGACAGATTTATACCATCACCGCGCCTTCGAGGATGAGGCCACATGGTTTAGTAAGTTACTCCTTAAATTGCCCGGCTTCACTCAAGTTAGGTATACCTTGACTGTCACACCTTGCCCTCCCTGACACGGGTAACCCACACAATCGCCGTGGTGATATCTCAGTCGGGGAAGATCTATGGTTCTTGCCCGGAGTTTTAGGCCTCAAATTTATTACATTTTGGAGCTACAGAGAGACAGACAGACACGCTCCTTTATAGTTGATAAGCAAGGTCAAGAATTCATCTGATCCAGAATTACAGAGACATTATTTTAGTTTCTGTCTTAAGATCTCGGACACTCTTGGTTGAGTTACGGTGAGAATTATTTACCCAAATTAGAGATGGTTGTTAATTAATGCCTGTAATTATAACGTTGGTCTCGTATTTCAGTTCGCGCTCGTCCAGGACACACCACCAAGGGCGGATCCAGGGGGGGTCCTGGGTGTCCTGGGTGTCCTGACCCCCCTCTTTTCACCAGAAAATTCCAATACTTTTTCTTTAATGCAGTATAGTAAAAAGTATTTACTATTGACTTCAGAGTATCTCCTAATATCAAGTGCGCATGGCTTCAAAATGGCCTCTAAATGCCTAAGATATTGGTGAAATTTCAAAAAAAAATATTCGGGGGGTGGCAAACTCACCTCCCCCCTCCCAAAAAACCCTTCAGCTGGGTAGGTTGCTGCGCTCACCATATCCCCCCCCCCCTTGATATTCCTGGACCGCCCCTGAACACACCTTCATGAACTGTTTCATCTTCTCAATATATTTATTTTTCTCTCTTATCCATAGAAACATTATAATTTTTGTTTTGTTTTTAAGTCGTTTAGTATAGAGACAAAGACCGAGTTAACGATGCTTAGAGATCCTAGAGACTAAAATACTCAAGTACATTCAGAATATCAAATTAATCTGTATATGTTGTTGTCTCGTGTAGAAACGAAGACTTGGTGAAAGGCCCTCACACTTGAAGCACTTATATTACACACTTAAAATTATAACAACAACAAAATATCAAAAAATATTCCAAAACAAAATAATAAATTGGGATCAGTTAAGAAAATTATTAATAATGTTGCCTTGTTATTTCTTTCGGTTTTTTTATGTCCAATAAATTCATTTTACGCAGTTTGTTGTGGCCAATGCGGTACTATGAGCCCCTGACTGACTCTATTATCCAAGGACAAATAAATTTAATATTATTTGTAGCTCGATGTATCATGACACATCGCTATGTAAACAAACAAAAAGTGTGTGTGTGTGTATGTGTGTGTGTGTGTGTGTGTGTGTGTGTGTGTGTGTATGTGTGTGTGTGTGTATGTGTGTCTCAGATTGACACATACGCTTACGTCTGTGGTTCAGGTGACCCTCAGAACTTCAGACAGGGATTAATATTAGTTATCGTCCATAAGTCTCTCGTTTACGATCTACATTATGTGTGTTCAAATCCAATTGGACGTAGTACAGGTAGTGTGGTGACTAAAGGTTTGTATATAAACACTACTACTGAATTAAAAATTACTCCTACAGGTATTTTCAGATGTCGATATACCTTAAATTCGTTTCATTTATTAATAAAATAATAATTAATAAAAACAGACATTATAATCTTTTATCAGCAAGTTTAATAATTAAGTATGAAAAATAATCAACAGACAAATTTGGAGATTATCTTAAAATATGATAATTAGTGTAATGACTTTATAGCAGTCATTATCCAATACTGTACCATTATCTGATCATTTTTCATAAACCTGCAACAAAAACACTAACAAGGTGTAAGATTAAAATATATTTGCTGGTGCAGAGACCTTCATAATACAGTGATGTTCCGGCCTCGTCCACGCTGATCTTAACCACAGGGAAGACAAACTCACTCAGCCCTGGACCGGAATCTAACTTCATTCTAACACACCTTGATCAATTTAATTTTACCTTACCTAACCTAACTTTAAGAAACTCTGAACTTTCAACAAATAAGTCGTCGGGTTCCACATTGGTTAAGTAAATCCCTGTATCCCTCAACCTAAAGTGATGACTCCTCTCAACAGAGAAGTTATCGTCGAGGCTGGGTGAAGTGCTGCAGGAGAAGGCTGAGGCTGATGATCTACGTCAGAAGCTCTTCAATAAAGCCAGGGACCTTCATGAACAGATCGTTAAAGTCAGAGAAAAGGTAAGAAAGAAGACGAAGACGAGATGAGAAACAAGTGTTGATGATGAAGGGAGGTGAGGGAACAGAAGTCAAAGAAAGAAATAGGAGCTGCACTTTAATGTATATGAAGACGAATATTTCTTTTTCCCCAATACTATTATAGAATTTACCCGTCATTGAGGAGGTCATAACTCGTGAGCGCGCCACTTTAAAATTTAAACAACTATCATTAAAATCTCAAGTAGACACATAGCATGCTGTAGAAAAATTATACGCGCCGTAAAAAAGCGAGGTGAGCAAATAACTGCCCAGCAGCATCACCCGGATCGATACTTGTGTTGGATCACGCGAGTAAGGCGACCAAACCACCCGAGTCTCCTCCACCTTCACCACCCACCTCCTGGTCCCCACTATCTCCCTACCCTTGCAACCCTCACAATATATCTCTCTCCTTTCCACACTACTTCCCTCCATCACCTTCCCTCCACCGCCTTACCTCTCAATTACTGCCTTCCACCACCTTCCCCTATCATTAATGAGTCGATAATCCACATCTTAAGACTTTAGGTCTTCCCTGAGTTGTTGTAATGGTGCGGGCAGACACGGTGCTCACTGTACACACCCCAGCACACTAGAGAGGGCTGTACCAGGTAGACCTTGAAGGAATCTCACATCCTTGCTGTCTCTTTGGTTGATTTTAAACTATCATTTCTTACTCTTGGACTCTGTTACTTGATCTCAGCCAACCAGCAAATTTCTATGACAATTTCTGGGGGGTTTTAAATTCATTTGTTCTTCGTCGAATTTCCTTGCTAAAGAAATATCAAAAGTAAATTATTATCGTAAATTGGGTTTTAAATTATCAATGTAAAGAACCACTGTAGACGATGGTTAGCTTCGAGGCAGGTGATGGTTAAATACGTTTTCAGGTAGTCCCAAACGTGTACATGATTTTGTTATCCCTAATCTTCTTATGCGAATGTCAACCTCAGTAGTAATCCTTACCAACAGTGACTCCCAACATCAGCAGTAATCCCCCGCCAATAATAATCCTTAGTAACTATAATATCCCATACCATAATGAACACCATCCCAGCGCCCCCTCACCCCCACACACACACAGTTACTGTAAGTCTGTTTGTGATCCCCACTGGTCCGCCACGCTGCGCCACCACACGACACAACATGGGGCTAGCGACAGCGGGTTGGGTCACGTCGTGCCTCCCGCTTGTGTTAGCCTCACGCACGTACACACTCCACACGCATTTGCACATGAGGTTCCACGTGCACACACACACACACACACACAATTATGGTCACAGAGGAACACACACACATGCACGACGGATTAGTCTTAGGAGAAAAACTAAAATAACTCAGCTGTGGTGATTAACACGGGGAAAAAAGTTAAACTTGAAGATGAAGTCAAGATCAGTTATACTGTAATATTATTTCAAAACAATTTATAGAAAACAAGTACAGTAGTTACAAAAACACATTCCCATAAAACTATTTACGAAAATATGAAGTGATGTTATATTGAGAAACAAGACCAGATGCTTGAGGAAATGACTAGACAATCATTGGGCAGACTTAAAGAGCAATCATAAAGAAAAATAAAGAAAACCCAGAGTATCGTTGGCTACTGTAGGAAATCAGTGACAGGGCTTGTATACCACACGATAAATTCCGAGATTAATTTCAATAATACAGTACAGGGTTACTGTATAAATGTATTATGTTCCAGTACTATTTTAAGGAACTGTCGCTCATTTTATTTTTTAGCGAGAAACAAGATAATTTAATCGTGTATTACCGAGGGTGTTGAGAGCTGCTCCGAGTCGGTTCTTGTTTATGACGTCGTTCTATCATGTTACCAGTACTATGTCTCCCTGTTCTTCTCATTAGAGCTCATTGCCATCAGGTTACTCAGTTGCAATTTAAACTCCTCCAGTTGTTTACAAAGCGATTTTTTTATCCGTGAAGGAAGTTGTGTGATATTATGAAGGTGAAGGGAAAATAAAAGTCACAATGTTAACAAGGATAAAAAGTTACACGGAAGTCACAAATAGAATAATAAAACCAAAAGCACTTTAAGACGGTTAGGTTGAGTTTGGTTAAGTTTGGTTTGGTTGAGTTTGGTTTGGTTGGGTTACGTAAGGGTTGGAATATTTTCTTAGGTTATTAAAAATTAAATAATCCAATAGTAGGTCAGGTTAGGGTATGTTGGTTAGGTTAGGTTAGGTTATGTTGGTTAGGTTAAGTTAGGTTTGAATGCTTTTTAGGTGATTAAAAAAAAACTAAAAAATCCCAAAGTTACGATTTTTCGACGTGTTAAAAATGAATACGAAATTAAACTAATTTTTTTTTTCCATGACTCTTTCCTGTGACTTTTTCTTCCCTTGACTTTTTCCTGGGATTTTTTCCTGGATTTTTTTCCTACATTCATTATGAAATCGCGTGGCTGTGGCCTTGCCCGTGTCTGCCGCGTCGCTGGTCTCATCCTTGGTGTCAACTTCATAACTCTTAGGAAAGATTTATAGATTTTCTTGAAATTTGGTAGAGTCATTGACCCTCTCAAGACCTCGAGTATGTATAGATATTTGACATGAACTGATTATAATTAGCGTTTTTAAGGTTTTTTTTTTTAATTGTAAAACTTTCATAAACAGCATCAGCGAGTAGCGTCAGGCTGTACATTTTAACGGAATGCTCTTGAAACATACACCACATTGAACTGAAAACCTTGGTTAAAAACTCTAGCGGTATACAATAGTTTATAAAGTGTTATTATCATCAGTTAACGCAAATTCTCAAAGTTGCTTGATGATGACACAGGAAAATATACAGAACATATTATTGTGTATTTATCTGCAGCCGATCTGCCAGTCTCATTAGAGCGAAATGATGACTGCGGCAAATACTCCCTCTCATAAAAATGAGATAACGAGTTAAAGTAACACATTTATAGTGAAATCATACACAAATTCAGTATAAGACATCGGATGTATGCAGGTAGGGGTGTTTATACGGAGGAAGTATACACGCAAGGAATGTAAGCACATGAAATTATGTACACATGTGGGGTTTGACCGTTTGAGTACACACACGTAGGGATGCACAGTACAGTCACCCAAAAAAGTCCTGTCGCCTCTCATCCTGAACCATGAACCCCGAGATTCAGACTCGTGAACCCGAAGCAGTAGACACTGATATGTTATTCTGTCCATAAATGCTTCGGATTCAAGAGACCGAATCTCGGGGTTCATGGTTCAGGATGAGAGGCGACAGGACTTTTTTGGGTGACTATACATATGTGGTGGAAATCACTCGAGAGATAATTTCGTATTGTAAATAATTTCTAAAGTTTTTTTAATTCAAACATTTCTGTATGTAAGGACTATCATGTAGAGAATAATAGTACTTACAAAACATCATCGGAGCTGATGTAAATCCTGCCCGCGAACCGTTACCATGACAGAATAAATACCGAACTTATGACGTTGTTACTATAAATTAATGTAGTCACCGCTGGGGACTGTCTCAAGTCATTTCTTTTTAACTCAGAAAACCTCTGCTACCATGACAGAACCAGGTCAATTTGGGAGCGATTTGCACCAAACGTTTTCCCTGTGGACCCTGTCACATGTTGATCAAACCTACAAAGTTTGGTGCAATTCTACAGACTCGTTCAGTTATTTTGGTAACAGACAGACAGAAAACAGTCCCCTAACCCTGCCCCGCAGTTACGGACAGGGTCATAAATATATAGCACCATTACTAACCAAACCTAACTAACTTAACTTTATTTAACATAATTTAGGTTAAGTTATTAAAAGTAAAAAATCTTCCCGATTTGGCAGAACGTCCGTTGTGTTTTGCGTTTTAAGGTTTAATCGGATGATTATCCTTTTTTAGCGTGACACCCGTGGAGGTGTACTGTACTATACATACACATGTGGTGGACCGTGGATGTATACACGAGGGGATGTATACATTTGGTGGATGTATACACGAGGGGATATGTACACAAGTGGATATACATGCGTGGTGGATGTATACACGAGGGGGGGTGGGGTGTATACACGTGGTGGAGGTATACAAAAGCGGTGTGTGCGTGACGACAGAGGCCCGACTATGTTGTGGGGCAGTCACGCAAGGTGCCTCTCCACCCCTTCCTCCCAGCTTCCTCTGTTGTCCCTCTCTGTCCTTCTCTTCCCTCTCCCTTTCCTTCTCTTCCCTCTCCTTTCCTTCTCTTCCCTCTCCTTTCCCTTCTCTTCCCTCTCCTTTCCTTCTCTTCCCTCTCCCTTTCCTTCTCTTCCCTCTCCCTTTCCTTCTCTTCCCTCTCCTTTTTCTTCTCTTCCCTCTCCTTTCCTTCTCTTCCCTCTCCCTTTCCTTCTCTTCCCTCTCCCTTTCCTTCTCTTCCCTCTCCTTTCCCTTCTCTTCCCTCTCCTTTCCTTCTCTTCCCTCTCCCTTTCCTTCTCTTCCCTCTCCCTTTCCTTCTCTTCCCTCTCCTTTTTCTTCTCTTCCCTCTCCTTTCCTTCTCTTCCCTCTCCCTTTCCTTCTCTTCCCTCTCCCTTTCCTTCTCTTCCCTCTCCTTTCCCTTCTCTTCACCCTACTCCCCCATTCCATACCTCTTCTCACTTTTTCTACCTCGTCCTTCATCCATACTCCTTCTCTCCGTTCCCCCCTTCTCATCTTTTCCCCTTTCCTTCATCTCCTTTTTCAATCGTTCCATTTCGTTCTTTCCTTCGATGTTCCTTCTTCCCCTCGCCTCCCTCTCCCATTCGTATCCCTTCCCTCATTTTCCCTTCTCCACCTCCTCACATCCACTCCTCCCATTCCCCCTCCCTCCATTACTTCTGCCCCTCCTCATATCTTCAGCTTTCTCCCCTACCACCTCCCCGGCAGCGTTTTCTTGTGTCTGCTGAAGGTTTATGGTTATCTGCAGAGCTGACGGGGAGTGACGTCTCTGTTCGTAAATTATACATGAAGGGGTGGTCTCTCTCTCTCTCTCTCTCTCTCTCTCTCTCTCTCTCTCTCTCTCTGACAGATAAAGAGAGAAATTTGGTTGAGAAGAAATTGGAGAGGAGCATAAAACGATTAAGTACACTCAGGATAATTTGCCAGCAATTACTCTGCAGGACTACGAGCCAATATCCCTAGGGGTCACACCACACACGGTATTTATAGCGGGAATTACACACATCTACACGACGACCTTCGCAAGCTCTTCCTTATCATCAACTTGTCCACCTAACGAGTACATGATTACTAAATGTAAAATGAGTCATAAGGTTAAAATAGGAATATATATAATTTTTTCCTTAAAGTAATAAGTACATTGGTGTATTCGACACAGTAACTATAGGTATAATTTTGTACATGTATTAGTAGATTAAAGATAATTTGTAACATCTACTCTCAACGAAACCTAACCTATACCTAAACTAACCTAACGTTTATCCAATTCAGCGACGGCAGGAGTGGTGGACGGCGTGGTCAGAGGCTAGACGGACTGGGACGCAGCTAGAGGATAGGCAGGCAGGGCTGAGGAATGAACTGGACACATTACATCGTCGTATCATCGGCTCCATCATCAAGAGAGAACCACTTATTACTGGTGTCCGAGACGAGCCATCCAGGAGGGTAGGTACCGGGGTGGATGTTCTTCTTTCTGTGTACGAGGTTAATGTTCAACTTATTCTGTGATTAAACGGGTTTCAGATTCGCTTGCTCATTGGTCGTACGAGGAGCTTATGTTCACTTGTTCATCGTCTGTAAAGGGGCTTCTGCTCAGTTGCTCATTGGCTATACAGGGACAATTTCACGTTTTCAGTGGTCGGTTACTATACAGGGCTCAAACATTTACTGGTTTATTGTTTAGTGAATGTGAAGAAGATAAAGTTTCACTCTTCCTCTATCTATACAAGAACATCCCGTGTCTATTTCTATACACGAAGATATTAATTCGCTTGTTCATTGTTTCATAAGTTAATTTGTTCAATAACTATCATGGAGGCACCATAAGTTCACTTTTTCATAGTTCATTAATTGCACTGGTGGCATATGACGTCCTTACAGCATGCTGTAGCCAAGTCTTGGTTACATTAATGTACAGAGTTTCGCATAGACCTGATGATGTTACCAACATCTTCATCCCACAAATGCCGGTGAAAATTACTTAACGTTGCCTTATGTGGTGCGCGGCGGTGGCCGAATGGATACAGTACTCGCCTCCTGTCCTAAGGTTCACTGCGTCGAGCCGGAGCACACTTACTCCAACCAGCTGTAAATGGGTGCCTAAGTTTACAGCTGGAGAAGTGAAGACGGTCGAGCGCAGTGTCGGCTGCACTACTTGTGTACAAGAAGCTTCGTATGCAGTCTTCTGTATTCACACTGTCCCTAACACACACACACACACACACACACTGCGCAAAATTATAACAATGTCAATATATAAAACTCTCCACAGAATTTGGTGTGCAGTGTACCAGTGTTCTTATGGTTTTATTGCATAGGGTTATTGCCCGTCATCAGTCACCTCGAGTCCCTCATTCGTATCCCCCTTCACAGGCCAACTACAAGATCTCCGTCATCCGTCTGAGACACGAGATTGAGGATTTACGGAGAAGAGTGGAAGCCATGGAGATCAAAGTGGAAGCCGAGATGAAGGTGAGTGGAGGACCAGGTGGAAATGAGTGATGGAGGACCATGGGATGAATGAACAATAATAATAAAATTAATATCTAAGTAAATGAATAATAACAACTAAGAGCAACTTCCTTTCAGAATAAGATCCATTATATGGTCTTCACATACAAAGGAAGACTAGAGATTCCAGTCAAGGACACATAGATAGGACACCCTGTTACCACCTGCTTTAAACTTTGTGGAGTGATTCGTCTTATCAGTGTAGACCGTACCTCTGGTTTTTATTATTATTCCCTTGTCATCACCAGGTTATTGATAAACTTTTATTATCACGACCACAAAAAAAGATTAATTTCCAAGTAACCACAAATTAATATTTTACCTTTCCTAATGGCCAATCACCAGAGGTGGAAATGCTAAGATAAGGAGGCCAATGGCCTATGTAAGATCCCTCCATTGTCCTTGATAGTTTTTTCAAGGGCAATTTTGAAGCCCAGTATTGTTCTTGATACCACAGCTTGAGCTGGTAGACCGTTCCATAAGTCTACCAACCTCTGTGCGAAAAGTATTTCCTTATGTTCGTTCTGCATGATGATTTGGCGAGCTTGTAGGAAGATTAATTCACTATTTTTCCCTGGCTAAACTTTCTCAATCTAGTTCAGAGGTGTTGTATAGGCTCAGTTGTGGATATAATATAGCATAGTTGAACTATTACTAAAAATATAAATATATTAGAGCTGTGAAGTATACAGTTTCAGCAAAACAAATATTTATTTCTTCCAATGCTTTACTGGGCATACTCTTAACATTGGTTTCAGAAGCTCACAGTAACGTTGTGATATAAAACTGATAATTTAACTGCTTTATGAATCATTTATGATTACGTTTCTCTCTCTCCCTCTATACATAGCTAAGGACTCAGGCGGAGCGAGAGGTCAAAACGCTGAGGTCAGAGGTTAGTAGGAAGAAGGCTAACGTGGCCCTCACACAACGCGCCACTACGCTACGCAGCTTATCCGGTTTTCTCCCGGACCTACTCGTGCGCATATAGACCCAATGTTTAACACCGACAGCTCCGGACCCTCACTAAGCGCATGTAGCCTTTCGACCAGCGCAACACTGATCGCCGCCAGACTCCACTGGCATCCGTACACAGCTGTCCGAGTGTAAAAGAATTTCATGACTAATCTCGCTTGTTGTGATAGCCTGATAGTGCGTGGTTTATCGGTGGTTCCAGTCTGAACAATGGTGATCATACGTTGTCCGTTGTAGCTCAGGCGCTACTTGGATACCATACAGTTCTAGTGGTCAGTGTTTACTGAGATGACAGCTGAACATGTCGTGATCTATTAACAGTCCCCTCTCCTGCGTGCCCAGGAACCTTCAAGTCATTGATCAATAACTTGCAAGGTTTTGTTTAAGAAGCTGTTGTTAGTCACATCGGCTCCGCGTAACGGGAGCTGATGTGAGTATGCGACTGATGGCTTTATATGTACAGTATGTGTTCACCCAGTTGTCTATAAATACCCTTCGTTACACATCAACACACCTTAAAAGAAACTAAGTGTGAACTGAAGGCTCAGAGATTGAAAAGTGACGCCTCACTTTGTGACGCTTCCAGTTTGGAAGAAAAGGAGCCAACTGGAAATATAAAATTCACCTAAAAACTCACATCAAGTGATTCGTGGATTAATTTGCCATTGACCTTCATCTGTGCGTTTGGAAAACTGCCCTATGGTGTGTTTTACTCACCGTCATAATTATATACTGTACAGTAAAAGGGCTTTAGTTTTTTCTCGCGTACTTGTATCACAGATACCTTGGGAAAACTCCGGTGTAGAAATTGCTTTGAGAGATGTACAGTAAGGGATAAGATATATTTATATATTTTTGACATGTATAAAGAATACTATGTATTACTTAATGTGGGAAATCTTGACGTAGCTATTTGTGACTGCTCAGCCACCTGGTGACATGTGGCGGCACTACTAACACGTGCAGCAGATGCCAATCTTGGTATTATAAATATTTTTTTGTGTGACTTATTGCCCATAACATTGTTTTGAATAAAATGTACATCCAAAACAGCTTAGTTTTGATATTCCTCAGACGGCAGTGGCTGGGTGGCTCTCAAACTGGTGCGAGGTGTGCGACAGGGTTTTAGGGTGTGCACGACTGCCAGGTTGGTGCACGACAGTAAGAAGCCTGCCAGACTTCTACTTTTGCATACTAAACACCCTGGATATGAGAACAAACCATTAGAATTTTTTTCCAGTGGAAAGCTGATGAGCATAAACAGCAAGTGCAAGCAATTCAAAGGCATGACACCGTTGCAGGGCGTATACACTTGATGGCAACTGACATTAATTTACAGATACAGTAGTGGTCAGTATAATCAGTTGTGACACATTTTCAATTCAGCCGGAGTAACTTATATACATAATGTTATTAAGTCTATAATAACTGGTTAACGTAATAAAAAGTAGTGCTTTCATTACAAGACTTTAGTATTTTGTGCAAGGAAACGGGGGTGTGATTACGAGTGTTTGTTGCACCACACGGAGGTTCGATGGCTCGAGCGTGAAGAAAGAACTGAAAGAAAAACCCGGAATAGTCATCAGTGATGTACATCCTGAATCGCTGTTAACTTATATGAAAGGTGAGTTACTATTTAGAAGTTGCTAAGCATGAAACTATATTAATTTGGTAAAGGTGTAGTTAAGGGTTAACACCAGAAGGAGTTTGTTGATTTTCGTTATTTTTGATATACTTGTTGCTTTGATGATTTTAAGGATGTTAAAAGAAACGACGACTTTCTAGTATAATTTTAAGTATTTTTTTTCTTATTTACTCTATCCCGCTTCGTAATACTCCTCCCGGCGCCATTTTTGTTGTTTACCTCGCTGAATCCCTCTTCAAGAAACGTTTCCTATTAATGATGGTGAACGCTTCCACGTATTCCTCCTCACCATTGCTTATGTATATCAACCTCAATATTAAGGTAAGTTGTTCAACACATAAATTAACACGATAATGCATATAACCTAACAAAACCTGACCAAACATACCAAACCTATGGGTATGTCAGGGTCAGGTTCTATATGTTCTATTCATTGTCGTTTCCATTTTTGTGTTTATTAGCATGCTGTTAGTGTGTAGAAGGAATTTAAACGAAATCAACAAACAACTTCTGGTGTTAGCCCTAAACTACACCTTTACCATTAATTCTTATATAGAGGGATGAAGAAAACTTTATTGAGTTTCCGGCGGAAATTTATATTTTTCGTGTTGATATTTCTTTTTTGTTATTTCCCTGAAATTTCAGTCGAGACCACCATGTCCAAAACCGAGGCCTCCCATCCGGTCCTAACATACTGTATTATTAAAAACAGTCATATGCAATTAATTTTAACCAGTTTTGACTTTTTTTGTTCGTTAATAATCTCATATTGTCTCATCTCTCAGTATTCGGTCATTATTTAAAATTAATTCTTTTGTGCAGGCGTTTTCCATTATTACATGGGTGTTCTGTTCATTAGTTCACCTCATAACATAAAAGGCCTATTATTCAAACTGTATTATGCCCAATGCTTGTATATATTGTATATATAAATACAATATACCCTCCTGGATTATGACATACTAATGTACGTTGTTTGCTTCTTTTGCCGATATTCAATAACACACCACAGTGATGACAATGTGTGCATACTCCACTTTTAAATTAGTAAATTGATTAATATTTTACTAAAATATTCAAATAATGTCAGCGATTTCCGTAAATAACATTCTCACAGGTCATTTAATAGAATTTTATTAGATATCAGTGAAGTTATTAGTGTCATAAAGGTGTACATAAGATATTATCAAGACACGTTTTTTGTAAACAATCACAATCAGTCCCAGAATGTTAGTACACCAGCTCTCTAAAACACTGACTATCGTTAAGTGTCATGCTAAATAAGGTTGGACCCAGACATTAAGAATGTCTTATTTATAGTGATTGTCTGTGTATTTTATTTGGTAACAAGAATTCTGATGAAAGAAGAATAAAGTTCATCTTAATAAGGGTGGTTAATTGTACATGTGATTGAATGACGATAATGTACTGTTTTACTGAAGGGATATATTGGCCACGTTAAAACAATAACAAGTAAATTATGACAAGCAAATATAACTTCCTGATAGAACATTGGCTACATCAGGGCAGACAGAGGCGTCTTACTGGGACGGAGGAGCCATCATCTTCACCCTTCCAACTTGTTCTTCTAGAATTACCTCCCATTGTAGCCATCAAATTCTCCCCCCAGCATAGGCCTGTATCTACCATAGCGTCCATGGTATCTTTCCCACTGGTAAGGGTCAAATACGTGTGCCTCGCTCGCCATCATCACGGCACTCACAACCACCAGTATGGCCAGGATCACGGACAACTGAAAAAGAAAAGATAGAAGTGTAGGGTATTCGGTGTATTTTGATGGTTACCTTTTTCGTTTAAATTTTCAATACATACCGGTTACATCGGATGGGGGATATGGAAATAGAAACAGTTTGCTCTTCCGTCAGTGTGTCGACCTGCCCATGTGTCTCCGTTCATATATGTTCGTCAGTTCATTTGTGTGTCCTATTGTTTGTCCGTCCCAACAACATATGAATACAAAATTCGAACACTTGGAAACAAATGTAATACAACAAGACCTCTGACAAATTTCATACCTTTGAAATAAAATTATTGTACAAATTCTAATGCGGGCTCTTTTATTTTCGCGTCCACGATCAAGAGATACCAAAGTTGTGTTAGCCAAATAATTCATCATGCCAGGTGAGGTCAGGTAAGGTCACTGCAGCAGTGAATGCAGATTGTGGAATGACATATAGCCACCATCTTTAGTGCAGATTCAACGCAATTTCAAGCGAAAATATCATGTTCTAAAAAGAACAACCAAAAATTATATTTTGAGAATTTCAGACACTTGGAAAACAAAAGACAGTTGATAATAATAGTAAAGATCATAGTGGGCGGCTAAACACTGTCAGGGGTGAGGGAGAGAGTGTTCGGTCACGACAAACCTCATCGATCACTAGAAAACAACGAAACGATTATCACAAGGGTTGGGGATCCCATGTGCAAGTGTAATGCGAGCAATGTATCAAGGGACACTGTTTACATACAAAGTGCAGATATTCCAGAAAATAAAAAAGCAAAATAAATATACAAAACTGAGATTTGGAAGAGAAATGTCATCGAGGATTGGAAATAATGAGACATTCCTGGATAATGTCATGTTCACTGATGAGTTCCACTGTCATTTTAGTGGTTTTGCCATTGAGCAAAAGACGAGGTTCTTGGCCACCGAGAACATCCATGTATCGACCGCAAAAATTAAAAGTGTAGAGAAAGTTAGAGACTGGTGAGCTTTGGTCAAAAAGGGCCAACTCACCAAGTTCATGATGAGGGTGTAGACGTTGGTGTGCTGCCGGGGCGTCGAGCTGAGCAGTTGATGGTGCTGGTCACTCCTCTCGCACTTTTATACCCACACTGGTGCAGCGTCGACTGTGAGTGAACACTGAAGGTCATGTCATGTTTGACCTCCAGAAGCGTGAATCTCGTGTACAAATGTTTTAGAACCCTAAAATACATTACAGTATATACAAAACGTAAAGATATCGCAATATGAAGAAGAGATAATTGGTTAGTAGTGATAAAATGCTTTTTTTTTAACCTTTGACCGGCCACAGACGAACAATGTTTACCTGTGGATCATAACAGATAATGAAAAGTTTCCCAGAAAGATGTCTTAAATGAAACGGCAGATTTTATCGTGCACCAATAAATTTCCAACAAATTGCATCGATTGAAAAAAATAATCCTTTTTCACAAAAATTTCAATCGGTCTTGAAAGCTTAACCTTGGCCATATTAGTGAGATACACACGTTACTGCTTTACCACCACCTTTACTAATCATGTTTTCATAAAATAGAGGAAACAATTGTTGAGCAATTGTTTTTTGTTATACCTTAACCAGGAGACGAAAAAATATTCAAGTGCACATTGAATTGGATCGTAGCCACTCTCATTACTAATGTTTACTAAGCTACATCAGCCTTGACGCTCCACTGTTTAGTCTGGCTAGATATTTGCCTTCGCCAGATTGTAAATCTTGATAATTGGAAACGTACATCCATTTATATTTGTCTTACTTTACTTTATACTCTTCACCACTGATCGTCCTGTTACTCGTTTGGGCGGTTGGTCACGTGTCTGTTACGAAATGTGGGCAAGTACTGGGCATGGACTGGTTCCAGAATGCATTTGCACCTGCTCCAGTGTTGACTTAAATTTGGCCTTGAATGAATTCAAACTCGGTGCCGTGACAACACACTAGCAGACTGTTCCAAGAGTTCACAACTCTCACTCCAAAAAAGTTTGGCCAGATAAATTTCTGAGCTTGAGGCTTCTTCAACCCTTAGTTGTGACCCCTAATGAGGCGGGCATCCGCTGGCTCCAGGTATGAACGGTCGACTGATTAATATCCTGAGGTGTTTATAAACTTCTATAAAGTCATCCCTTGCCGGCCTACAGATTAAGCTAGGAAACTGCAGGCGTTGTAATATTGTTGGGTACTTGAGGACTTAGGTGTCGTAGTGCAGGCATCAGTCTGATGACCCTCCTTTGGACTTTTCAATCAACAGACAGTTTCTATCTTGTCTCGTAGAACAGACGGGGTGACAGTACTACGGACAGAGAAGCACCTCATCCTTCTTCTCATAATGGTGCGAGGACTTCAGTTTTTTTTGTCAACACACACACCCAGGTCATTTTCACATTTGGTCTCCGTAAGTGCTCTTTCTTCGTCTCGTTGGGACATGTGATATGCCTTCTTACTGTTGGTGCGACCCAGGTGCATCTCTTACACTTCGTGACATTGAATCTTGACAACCACGCCTATGGCCACTCAGAAGCTGACAGAGATCTTTATGTAGCTCTTCACAGTCCATTTGGTTCTTAATTTCCCTGATTAACTTTAGTATTGTCCGCGAATATTTATATGGAGGAGTGTATAACTTCTTTTTTCTT